GCAAAGATTTCTTTTTCAATTTTCATTAACCAGATTGAGAAATCGAATGCTTTCCAAATTTGTCTAAGGATGTTTGAACAATTCAAAGCATGTGCATAGCCGTCATGACTTGACTAATGACCGTGATACACAAAACGCTTATAAATTAAAGCTACGATGGCTACTGAATAACCTCCTTTTATAATCTTAAGTTGAAGGAAAATCACCCATGAACAACCTATGCAACACAAATATTCTGTATTCAAGCTCAATGGATGGCAAAAGAAGACTTTGGCCATCTCGTGTCCATTGGGGTTATTGATCTAGTTTACTCCTACATTGAAGTCAAGAAATTCAACGGAGTTGGAGGTTTGCACGTGTGGAAGTAAAGAGGAAGTACAAAAAACTCAAGCTAAACAACATTGACCTGAAATAATTACCCAAGAAAAGAAAAAAGCGAAAAAAATGTTTACAAATAAGTTAAATCTTATATATATTGACGGTGGAGATGGATTCCGTTCCACAGCTTCCGCCTACACTCCAGGTTTTGCAAAAACTTTTGGGTTCCCCAATTTCACACAGACAAGACTTCTTCCCAGGGACCTCTTGGATCAATGGGGATCTTTGTAAAGAAATTCTGCTAAGATTGCATGTAATTATGAAAAGAGAAAAGTTGTTAACGGTTTCACTTTAACAACTCAAAATATGATGTCGAACGCGTTAGGCAAATACTATGTCTAGATTGAAATGTTGCCATCTGCTGCTTTTGTATATTTCCTTTTCTTCTTCTTCTTCTTCTTTTATTTTTATTTTTTGGGTTTTTGGTCCTTTTCTAGCTTTTGTTATTGCTTCCAAATCGGAATAACGTAATTATGCAAAAAATTAGAAGGGTAAATTATATCGAAACCTGTGTAAAAGGTTGTGGATCCTGGATAGTCTTTAAACATCAAAAAGACCTATAAAGTCCTCAAACATTCTTAGACATAATGATTTTGGTCTTTCCCCTATAGATAGAAAATGGATAAGATGGCAGTTTCTTGTCTAACATTTTTTTTCCTAAGTTAAGAAACCATAGTAATATGTAAGCTCGAATGCTACCCGCAGATTATTCCTGAGATACTATGAAACATGTTGGACATTACTTTCCTCATGAAGGTAGGATTCATACGTTAGTTTTGATACTGGTACTCTAACATAATAAGTTAATATTTTCTCCCCACAAATCATGTTCATTAATGTTTTGTTGTAGGAACGGCGTTTTTACCATATTTTGGGTCCGCTATATTTTTAACTGCCATGGAAATTTACCAATTTGCATCATTCAGACTAATCGTTTCACCAATAAAATAAGGGGTTATGTATTGTCGGTGCATACACGAATAGTTTTGGATGTATATCACGAAATTTATTTTTAAATTTGAAATTTAATTTTTACACAAGTAATATACATATGCAAATGCTCGTGTAAAAGAACTTTACATGGACAATGTATAAAATAATGTGTGACAAACTTTTTCTTGGAAATGTTGCTTCAAGCTTGCGGTTTCATTGGAGGACTCGATTTGACAATTCTAAGTATATATGATGTTATAATATTCAGATTAAGAGCCTGAGTGTCAAAATGATCATTTTCACTAACATATTATTGTCTGCCATGAAAGGATTTGACCGTGGACTTTGATTTTATGCTAATCAAAACTCTTCAGACAATGCCAATTGAAACTTATCTGATGCTTTCTCTGGTGATTTTATTGATTTCAATGAACTTTCTGATGGAATTTACTCATCATTTCAGCCAATTGAGGGTGCAGACAATTTGTACACAAGGACTACAGATCATTGGCTAGCCTATGACTTGTCCTAACTTGCAAATTCAATTAAAAACCTTCCATTTTCTTTAACTCCAAACTAGGTTCCAAAAGTAAATCTTGCATCTACTTGGGATGATCTATAGTATCCAATCCCATATACATTTCATTTATGAAACATAAGAACCTAATTTGAAACTAGTTCCCTCTAATAATCTAAAAACTTTTCATGCTTAGTTTGTCTCTATAGTTCAGTTGCTTAATATATGATCGTATAAGGTAGTTCAATTGTCAAGGACTAATTCATACATTAGGGAGTCTGAATAATATTCTGCCGTAGCTTAGCCTCAAAGTAATACTAATATATAAACAATTTTCCTCAACGGTTGAACACTAATTCTAACTATTTTTTAAAATTGTCAACTCTTTCCCGAATAGGTATATTAGGCTGCCTCCCCTCCATTTTCCAAAATGTTTTTTTTTTTCGTGGCTGCAATGCCATCTTTTTCTGTAGAATGGATTTTTTATTACGAAAAACTACTCTATTAATTCGGCGCTTTATTTGTTTATTTATTTTTGACCAGATTCAGAGCTTTATTAATGTTATATCCTGCCAACCAAACAGTTTAAAGATTTTGTATACTATCCATGGAGGGTTGGCAGCTAAATAAAAAAAAATGTTTTTGTGCCTGCAATTATAACCTTTTCTGTTTTAACCATTTCTGTTTTTGTGCCTGCAATAATAACCTTTTCTAGTTTTTAGGTTATTTGTTTTGTATGAGCAGTCCACCAAATGTTGTGGATGGAAATAATCAGCAAGAAATTAATAAACAAAATCTCGAGGGGCCTAATAGAAAATTTGTGGCAATTTTTGTTTAGCCCCATGAATTATAAGAAGATTTTAGTTATCCCCTCATCAATCTTCCAATCAGGTACAAGGTAAGCATATTGATAGCTTATAGGCTATAGCTTAAAGGAAAACAAAAATATGGAATTCTTGGCTGCGCTGCGTTTATTGTTACTGATAAATAAATAAGCTTTGGTACCTAAATGACAAAACAATGCCATATATAAAAATAGTGAACATAGTATTTTCATTTGTTTACAAAGTTGATGTGACAATGTAAGTTACAATGCATGACTTAATTCTATTAGTGAACAAATTTCATACTTCAAATTAAAATTTTCAATCTGAGATCATATGAAAAGACTAAAAGGGATGGAGAATCTTGCCTTTCATTTCACAATAATTGCATTTGTTATTGTTTACTTCTATGGCCCCAAATGGCTCTACCCCTTAATACCTAGTGTGTATTTGTATTTTATACCATGAGCAAAGAAGGAAATGTAAGTGAAATATGTCGGATTTGAGACCTTCACTTACATTAAAAAAATTAAAAATAAATATTTTATACTATGAATTCTTTTCATTCCATCACAACTTTTTTTCTTTTTGCTGAAAGAGGAAGAGGAGGAGAAAGGAGGAGGACGAGGAGATGTTTGAGGGTTTAGCACTCCTAGAATACACGGTACAAATATTATCATAACTTCATATCAATCAAACTAAATAATTTTGTGTTATAATTTGCAACGGTGTTTGCTCTTTTCCTAGAGACAAGTATCAAAAAAAAAAAAAAAGGGTACAATTGTTCCTTACCAAAGGCTACTAAGGTGAAAGGCAGCCTTCTTTGACCTAAATAATGTACGAAATGTACTTCTCACCCATTCATTTTGATTACATCCATAATCTTCTACATTCTGAACTCAATTGTCATGATGATCTCCATACCAATACTAGATCTCAACTTTATTCCTACTGACCCAGTAAGAATATTGAAGGCAGGAAAAGCAAAGTAGCAACTGGAGAAGGCTAGCTCCAACAGCCAAAAACAAGTGGGAATTATTTTGACTACCAAGACCTCGTTTCCAGTAAAAATAACATGCATGTTCTAACTCATGGTGTGAACTAAGAAGTCCTCTGCCATCTTGAACTACCGCGGACACTTAGTTACTTCTCTAGAAAACCACTAAAAAAACGCAAAATATATATATATATATATATATATATATATATATATATATATATATATATATAAGAAAAAAGTTAAACTTAGGCTCGCCTTCATATACAAAATTCTAGACACTTTTACATGTCATAACCCTTCACTATGAGTTGTTGCAATGGATGAAAATGTTAACTGCAAAATGCAAAGGGCATTTAAGAGTTACTGCATTGTGAAAATCATCCTACAAGAACTTAGATTTTGCACCTCTTGAAAAATCAATTGATGAAAATACTTACTATATTTTAGATTCATGAACTTTTCCATTGCATACACCTTTCCATCGGCCGGGTAGACACAAATTCTTTAATCGCTTACCAAAAATGTCCTTGTACTAATGCTCTAAGAGAAAAGCTATATTTAGTCTCACTAGGACGAAATAAAATGCCTAGAATTAAGAATAAATATCAAACAATTGCAAGGAATGTTATCCATGATACCTAGGGAAGCCGGACCCAAAATCTATAAAGTTGTTTAAGAGGGAAATAATCAAACTTCTTGCTTTAAAGGAATTATCATATAGTACTATGTTTTCTACTCTAAGTTATTGCAAAGTTGAAAAAAAAGAAAAAAAAAATACTCATTACAAAGTTAATTACGACAAAGGGAAAATTAATAAATGGTATGCGCGTCGTTAGACTTTTACTAATAACAAGGATACGCGAGTGTGTGTGCACGCTCATACATATTTATACATCTTTATATATGTATCGGTACACGAAACCTTACCTGCATACGACCTTATTTATATGTACCTACCATCTCCTTGTAAGTTTCTTCATTTTAAATTACATTATTCTCCTTTTACAAAAAGCAGGATTAAGAAATAATGTGCCTCTTAATTAAAAAATGAACATTTCGACATATTTTATATCCTCAAATGCATACTTTTGGCTGTGACAATAGCTGCATCGATCTGCCACTTTCTCTCTCTCTCCCCTCTTCATTCATACCTTCCTTTCTCTCCACTCGATTCCTTTTGTTTTCTATTCGCTCTAGGGTTTGAATTGCTGTGCTTTATTCTTCTTTAATAGCCACATAAAAAATCGCTAATTAGTTTTTATACTAGTTACTTATAATTTTCCAATTTAATCATACTTTATTTTACTTAATTAGTACTTTGTTTTCCTGTTCTCTTTTGTTCTTGTGTATGGCTGGTTTAGACTTAGGCTCAGCTTCTCGCTTTGTTACTCAGCTTCACAGGCCTGATCTCCAGCTTCAAAGACCAGTGGCCAACTCCGAAGATGACAGCAATCGGAACCAATTTTCCGGCGAGAACGACGATGAATCTCACCAAGCTGGTCTAGAGCTGGTCACATCAAACACAAGCTCAGGCGATGTTGTGGCTCGGCGGCCAAGAGGCCGGCCAGCTGGCTCCAAAAACAAGCCTAAACCCCCGGTGATAATCACCCGAGAGAGCGCCAACACGCTCCGGGCACATATATTAGAGGTCAGCAGCGGCTGTGATGTGTTTGAATCAGTTGCAACATATGCTAGAAAAAGGCAAAGAGGTATTTGCATATTGAGTGGTAGTGGCACCGTCAACAATGTGAGCTTGAGGCAACCGGCTGCTGCGGGCTCAGTCGTGACGTTACATGGCCGGTTCGAGATTTTATCATTGTCGGGCTCCTTCCTTCCACCGCCAGCTCCACCGGGTGCCACCAGTTTGACCATATATTTGGCTGGTGGACAAGGTCAAGTTGTTGGAGGAAATGTTGTGGGAGCTTTGATTGCTTCTGGACCTGTGATTGTTATTGCTTCTTCTTTCACTAACGTAGCTTATGAAAGGCTGCCTTTGGATGAAGATGATCACTCACTTCAGATGCAGCCACCTGTGGCGTCTCAGACCTCCGGTGGTGGCGGTGGCAGTGGGGTAGTGGTGCTGGTGCTGGTGGCTCAAATAATCAATTTTCTGATCCATCTTTAGGGCTTCCCTTTTTCAATCTGCCGATAAATATGCCTAATAGTCAGCTTCCAATGGAGGGTGGAGGATGGACAGGGAACTCGACGGGACGGCCACAGTATTAGGTCAATAAAAAGGTACGGGAAAAACCATGGATCGGCAACATAATCATATCCATGTTGTACATTTAGTTGTAATTGTCCTTTAACGTGCCTTGCATTTTGATTTGTGAAAATTCTACTTTTAGTTGTTTCTTGTTACCCTCAAGGATGGAACTTTCAAGTGCTTGTTAGATGACAAAGTTGAGTGTAGCTTTGGAGACTAATTCTACCACCATTTCTTTACTTCAACTTGTTCAATCATACTAATAAAAAATTTGGTGTTTGCAAAATCTAAAGTTGGTTACTACTCCATAGCTTAATTCATCTCTATCTTATCTTATGGTTCACCCAAGAATTTACAAAGTTTTTCCACGTAGGAATTATTCTCCACTTAATTGGCTGTGTAGTGTATATATATATATATATAGAATGGAATGTGCTAATTAATGGATGTCTTTTCTCTGAAATTAAAATACTATGCTCTAGAGGTATCATAGAATATGAGCAGAATATAGGACAAGGGTCATTTTGTTGCTGTCAATTTTTCTCATATACATTTTTGCTTTCCTCAAAAGTTGTTGCTACCTTCCCGAGTTTGATTATAGATGAATACATATGGATGCACTTCAAGGAGGCTATTCCTCTCTCGGCCTTCCTCCTCCAGCCTGTGTTTTTCTTGTATTAGTTGAAGATATATGTGGTCAAAGAGATCTTTGCTCAATCCAATAAGCTTCTACAAATAAGGGAAACAACACACAAATTTATCATCTAGGCTATCAATTGCCAAAAGCTTTCATTTCTTTAGACCTTGCTTGTTGTCGGACATACAAAGTACGTGAGTTGCAGAACCAGCATATGGATCTAATCCAATTCGAAGAAATTTTCAATAGTACCAAAAAGATTCCTTACACCAATAATCGTACCAAACATTTTCTTGCTTAAAACATAATACAGTTACCAATTTCTTATTCAGGTGGTTGACCATTTTGTTCCAAATGCCAACCAACTGATGATTCCTATTGTTCGAGTTCCAACTGGTAGCTTACATCAAATTAGTCAGCCATAATCATGGATTCCAGCTTTGGAAACTTACGTTAAAAGTCCTATTTTGCCAGTTTTGCCCAAAAAAAACAAAACAAAACGTAGACGTCCATTGAAATCTGTTGCTCTTTCTTAGCTATGAATTGGGATGTTATTCCTGTTCTCATATATTGTTGCTATAGGTGATTGAATGAAGATGTCAACACTTGCCATTTAATTTTTCTCTGCAAGAGGAATCAATTCATTATTCTGTTCTTCTGGCTTCAGACAAAAAATTTTATGTTTCGATACGCACCAAGTTATACTCAATTAAAGCAGCTGTAGATGGAATTCACTTAGTAAATTAACGTTAAATTGCATTTTATTCAGATGAAATAGGCAATGCCCTTTAAGACGAAATCACACAAAAGAGTTGTATGCGGGATCTTAGTATTCATTTTGGGCATGTGATATCTACGTAAATGATACACAAATGACATTTTATTCGCATACTATGTTATTAATTTCCCCTCTTCATATATGCTCATATTCTGTGGTGAAACTCAGAAGCCTACACATTTTATGTTTTGCATGTAAACTAACTATACTTCATAGTGAATTCTAAAACCAATTTTTGGCTTCGAGACTGTTTTTACATTTTCTTTGCAAGTTTCCTGGAATGAAGCGTGAGATACCTGCAGTTTCAGTTCTCCACTTGATCTTTGACTAAAACAATTTAGCCAAGGTAGAAATTACACGAGTGTTATCTGAATTTATGCACCAGGACGTTTGGATTTTGAGTAGTAAGGTATCAATAATGTATCACATTTCACTCCTCCTATTTGCGTGTTGAAAATGCTCAGGATTTGAATGAGGTTTTACATGTACTTAGAGGTGGCTTAGATTTTTACTGTCCACATTTCTATTGTAAACACAAATGTGTTCTACCATCTTCTTCTTCTTCTCTTTTTGGGTACAAAAGTTTTTCCCTTTTTCCTTTGGGTCCAAAAGGGCATAGTATTATTACACATCAAAGACTCTACATCCATGTTGGAAGGATAATTGCTAATAATTTGATTAAACTAGGAGGGCAGCATTCCCTATTTTGTAGAAAGATTCAATAACTTTTGAAGTTTACCCTATGAGGTCGGGATGAATTTTGTCATTATGTCTTCATTTTTTTCCCACGTTCTTCTTTAGCTCATGGCTATTTATGTAACATGTATCTATTAGGATGCCTCGTCATTTTCTTTCACCATTGTTTTGTTAGAATACAGCACATGAATTCTTGAAATTAGTAAGTTTTACAGTAGCATTCAGGCTTCAGCCAGAACATGCAACAAATCTAGAATCAAGCTATATAATTCTTGTATGGAACTAGAATAGAGCTCATTAATTGAACAGCACCCTTTCCAATGATAAGCAAGTTCTAACATGTTATGCAGTCCAATATCCATATGGTATTCTAGCAGAAAAGAAAGTTCTAAGCTGCAAAATCAGTTCTTGTATTTCTTTCAGGGCTTTGTTTAACTTGCATGTGAATTAGGTTTTGGATGTCTTTGTCAAGAACTTGGAACCACCCTCGTCTTCTGAAACTGTACTTGAACATGTCTTACTCCTCCAACATTGTTAGGCTGGACCCTTTCGCTATTTTTTTTCATTTTCTTTTTGGTCAATTCCAAAGAATATAAGATTTACTTGCCAGTTTGCCAAATAAATTTGGGCTTCAAGCTTATGTACTTGAACGAATTCCGAATCAACTTAACTGGAAACCTGCTCTTTTTTTTTCCAGAAACGATAGAGAGATTTATTGGTAGTAAAAAAGCATTACACTATGTGAACAAGGGCTCATCTTGAACTATACAAAAAGTGTACTAAGACACTGAAGATCTAGAAATTCCTCATCAAAAAGCATATGTGTTGCAAGTTCACTCAGTCTTACACTTAGCCTGTTAAGGTCACCAGACAACCTATCAAATGAGCATTTCCTAAACATTGAGCTAAAGTCTCTGATATCCTCTAGGTGTGCTGCAAAGCCTATGTCTCTTGGGGCTTGTCTCCTTATCAAGTTTAGAACCTGAGTACAGGATGTTTGGATCTGTATTAACTGCCAACCTTGTTCCTTGGTCTTGCACAGTTTGGTCAAATATAAACGATTGTACTATACTTTCTACCCAATTCTCCTTGACGCCTAATGTATCCAATTCTCTTATAACAAGCACAGTTTTGTGGTCCGGATCGATCAAGAAGCAAGGCCCTTTTGGTTTGCAAAGAAAAGTGTTCTCTGGTCGACATAAATTGGGATTGCAGGCAAAAGATTTTAACCCAAAAATTGAAAGTGCAACTTCTTTGATGTACTGAACGACCTGATCACGTCCAACAACAATAGTCCTGCCTAGGACATATTGCCCTTTAGCCTTGAACCAGAAATAAAGAAAGAGTCAAAACCGTCCGTCCGAAAAATTCAAAACCTAATTAAACAGTAAACCATTCGTGTTTGTAATCATTTTAATTGGAATTAAGTGCGTCTTTTCCACCTCGTAACACTAATTTTTCAGGAATTTCTAAGCTTAATTTATCTACGTCCTTGAGAACTAGTGCATATGTTCAGTTTGATATGGTACGTGGATGTCAAAATAATCTGGACCTCAAATAAGGCTCTTTATAGGAGGAAAAAGAACAGTATCTGGTTACTACTTTTTTTTTTTTTTTTTTTTACAAACGATACCAATGTTATAATATTTACACTTGATATTACAAAAGTTAATTACAAAAAGGGGTAACTACCCCATATCCTTTCTAGCTAGTTCTGATAACCAAAAAGGGAATGTTCCCTCCCATTCAATCATCCTAACTGACTTAACTGCAAATTGAGCCATAGCATGGCTACAATTATTAGCAGTTCTGGGAACAAACAAAACCACACAGCTTTCAAAGTTCTTCTTCAGGTCTTCAATGTCTTCCAGGATCGTTTGTATCTTACAATCCTGCACATTGCTTGAGTTGATTAGGCTCACCACAAATTTGCAATCAGATTGGACCTCTATTGTAGTCCACCCTGCAGTTGTGGCCATTTCCAACGCACTCCTTAGTGCCAATGCTTCCTCTATTGTTGGTTCTCCTCTCCTCCTTGCCACAATACCTTTGGCTTTCACTATCTCTCCACGCCAATTCCGCGCAATTATCCCCAAGCCTGTCCAGACCATCTTAGCTGAGAGTGCCGCATCTGTGTTTATCCTTATCACGCCTTCCTTAGGTGGTTCCCATTTGTGCTGTGAATGTCCATTCTCTCCTTCTGTTGTAGTTGGCCTTGCAGTGGTTCCATTTTCAGCTTCATACTCGAGCCATTCTCTCTGTGCTTTATCGACAATCAGTTTTGCATCCCCCCTCTCAGCCTGGAAATACGTTTTGTTTCTAGCTTTCCACACTTGCCACAATATGTTCACCGTGAGCTGGATTCTGTCCAGGCCCTGCGCCTCCCTTGCTGATTGCATCATGGCATCCCACCATCTCCAAAAGTTGCATTGCAGTTCGGCTATCCCTTCCCATTTCACTGGAGCGAGCTTCCATACCTCTTGAGCAGTTGGGCAAAAAATAGCAAATGCTCGATCGTTTCAGTCTTCTCACCACAGCAGACACAAAAGTTGGCTTCCCTTCCCAATCCTCTTGAAGAGTGTTTCACTGGCAGGCAATGCATTGTGTAGGCATCTCCATAGGAAGTGTTTTCAGTTTCATCTTAATATTCAAATTCCATAGTTTTTTCCAAACCGTATGCTTCCTAGAGAAGAATATCTCAGAATCCATTTTGTGTTATTTCACAATTGATGATGGCCTTACATGCAATAAACAGAGTGTCATGTCCAGGTAAACATAATCCGTCTGCAGACATATGTAATAACGTTTACGAACTCAAGTCACTGAGTCAATAGACACATGTCGTAAAAGAAAAATAAAACAGACACGTGTCATAACCCCATTACCCCTCCCCTCCAACCCCCAAAAAACCCCAAAAAACAAAAGAACAAAGGGTTTGCCAA